TACCCAGATACTCAATAATCCTTTTAACTATACTTTCATTATGGCCCTACCACTTAACTCCTTTCAATGCCTGCCCCTGGCCCACCCCAGGCTACTTGTCACTCCTTAATTCCATCCAGATCTTCTCAGTCTTTTTCAGTATAAAAGTACCAATCTTGCCCCCATTACATTGGGCAGAATCATCTCCCAGGCTTGTATTGGTGTCACAAATACCTCAGATTTACTAGAAATCTTACCCACCTAACCTGGAGTCATAATAAAAAACTCACTACTGTGACTGAAAGAAGGCTTGAGTGGTTGAATTCTTTGGATACAGACCTGCCCTGTACCCTTACAGTTGGTGTTCCCAGCACCCCAAACTGCACCAACAACAACATGTACTCAGAAAGATTATCTACTAAGCCACAGAATGGTTTTAATCTAATGGATGGAGAGGGTACACATAGCAAAGTATTTAATTTTTCCTTTTTTCCATATTTATATCTTATCTCCCCAACAAGACTGTGAACTCCCTAGGGACAAAGAATGTGCCCAAAAGTTCTATCTCCCATATCATCTAAGTGATGAATACATAATAGGGGCTAACCATTTTAAAATTTGATTCAGTTTTGTGTTTCCTTCCCCTCCACATGACCTCTGTGTAAATATTCCATACATCTCATTAACAAGTTAGAAGTGGGCTTGTTAACTGACTACTCTAAAGTCTATGAGAACTTCCTAGTAAGTTCAAAAGAGAGTATGAGCTTCATATGAGAGGGCAATCTGAACACAGTTCACCTTTTAGTATCTAGATTAAAACTCCTGAACAAAAAACATGTCTGAATTTCTCCCTAGTTTTGCTTGAAGAAGTCATCATGTGAATTTCTCTAATAAGATACAACACTGGGGAATATAATTATACAAATTCACAAAGAGGTAATGCTCTTTCACCAATAAACCTCCTTATCAGAGATGACTGGATGCAAGCACTATAAACCCTCCAGATGAAATTAGTCTAACTGGGAAGGCGGCTAGAAATATTCAGAACTTACAGAGCCTGGGAATATGGATATGCAGTCAGAAAAATGGGGTTGAAATCCCACCCCTACTAACTTACTGGGGGAGGGAGGGTTACCTCTTGGGCAAATCAACTTTTTAGTCCTAGTTTCCTGTTCTGTAAAACACCAAAATGGATCTGTAACCTCACAGATTTGGAGGTTCCCTCTAATGATGCAACTCACCACCCAACCATGCAGCCCTTGTGACATGAGGGGTCACACCAAGGGGAGGACATGCTGTAGGCTTCCTCACCTTCTCCTGAAACCTCAAGGGTAACTAACAGTAGAGCACTGTGGCTATCTATCTGTCATCCTTCAATCTTCCAACGTGTAAGACAGGGATAATAACTTGTACTCTCTATCATAGGAAGGTTTAGAGTAAGACTCAAATTAAAGAATAGATAAAAAGTCTGCAACATGCTTTACATTTTAATGGAATAATGATGGGTACAAGCACCAAATAAGTGTAAAACTATGGGGCAGTTTGGCACAATGGAGAGAGCTGGCCTTACCTGGGACACATACAGATGATGAGGCAAGTCACTAAAGGTAATTTAATTTTTCAGTGCCTGTAGCCAGCTAAGAAGGACTAGAAATTTCAGAGCAGGTGCCATTCTGGGGTGGTAGAAAGATCTTTCACAAGGTGTGCAGAAGGTAGGTGGCACAGAAGATTGAGTGTCAAACCTGGAGTCAGAAAGACCTGAGTTCAAATCCAGCCTTAGACACTCAAGACTGGATTAGCTGTGTGACCCTGGACAAGTCACTTAACCTTTGTTTCCCCATCTGTAAAATGGGGATGATAATAGCACCTACCTCCTAAGGCATTATGAGGACCAAATGAGATAATAATTATAAAGTGCTTAGCATATAGTAGGCACTATATAAATATTGTATCAAAGGAAGGAGGAGGGGGTGGGGTAGAGAGAGAAGAAAAATATTTAAGTTATAATTAGGGACTGTCTTGCCTTTAGACACCTCAGCCTAGGCACAGTGGCTTCTGATGCTGCTGCCAAAAACCTTTTCTGATGAAATTTCACTCTGGAAGTAAGGTCTCTAGATGCAATTCCCATGAAAAAAGACAAATTTTTAAAAAACTAATGTTTAGTAAATCACACAAGGCTTTCTGACTTCACCATGTAGAGATTTTTCTGTCTTATTAACAACTTCTGGAAAGCAATAATATATCATATCCTTGCTTCTGGAAGGTGTCTACAGAACTCTCCAGGAAACCTTCTTCAAAAAATATTAAGGTAAAAATAGACCAAGGTTTTTCCCAACTCTAAAGAAAATGAGATGACAATTAGAATCTTATTTGTACACTGGGCTGCTAATGAAGCTACTCCCTCCAAACTGGGGTCTTCCAAGGGAACCTCCTGTGGTATGACTCCAAACCCCAGATTTGAGTTAGGAAAATTCTTCCTATGCAAATGAAGTCAAACTGAATAAAAGGGTGGTAAGAAAATCCATGCAGCCTGAGGAACTGAACCTCAACATGAAATAACATCCTTTGGCAGTTTTTTTTGCCTCTTACTAGCTTCTCCCAGATTGGAATCTAGATCCTGGGTGTACTTTGTTATTTATGATACTGGACAAGTCAAACAGACCTCTGGCCTTTCTTCACACTGATTTCTAAGGACAGAACGGACTTTAAAGGTAGAGTAGAGCCTCTGCTCTGAGACTTCAGGCAGAAAAAGAAATCACACTTTTCTAAGACACCTCCAGATCTAGAGATTCCCTAGTACCTGGTAGCTAGTCTCTCTTCCCTTTCATCTTCCCTGAAAAAACAATATCAACACCCCAACTTTAAACAACACGAAGCTCCCTGACCTCACCGTGTAGAGATGAACACGAGGGCATGAGAAACCTGTCAGAAATTAAGAATGAAGTGTCAGTGGCACAGGAAACACCAACAAACATTTGGCTTCTTTAGCAGTGAGCCAACACTTCCTTCTCCATTAGAGAGAATCTGGCAGTGAAACCACTATGGGAAGCAATGGTAAGGTAAGGGGCCTCCCAAACAGAAGTTCTAAGAAGCTTGCTTCTCTCCTCCTTTCTCATTTTGCCCCCCCCCAATTCTTAGTGGATTTTATTTCATTTTACCTGGTACTAGCACACTTCTTGGGGGATGGAAAAGGGAACTAGAAAATGCCAAACAGCTTTTGCAGGCCCTTCAGGGGTTTCTTGTTTTTGTTTTGCAAGGCTTAGCCTAAGGAAGCTCCTCCATTGGAATTCTACTCAGGTTGCTGAGTTTTAGGACAGTGAAAGTTTTCGGAGATCAGGGCTGTTGGGGAAGAGTGATATGAACTGGCTCCATTCCCTAAGGGGCTTACCCAAAACATTGGTGAAACACAGTAAAAAGGACCTGGCACCTCCCAAGGCTGAGTTCAGGGAGGCCAACTCTCAACTAGGAATAATGTTAAGAACTGGAATTCCCCAGATCATTTTAGCCAACAAGTTAAATCTTTAAACAAACCTGTTAGCAGAGCTGCTACTATCTATCAATGACTAGGACTAAGTGACTTAGCTGTCTGTCTCCCCAAGTGCTCAGCACCGTGCGTGGCATGGCTGCTTGTTGCCTGTCTGACTGAAGGTGGTAATGTACCATTAGTTAGAAGACCCAAGCCTGAATCCTAACTATCACAGCTCTGTGTGTCAGACTTCAGCCAAATTTTTTCATTTTTCTCATCTGTAAAAATGAAGGGATCTGTATGGCTATGGAATCTTGCAAGTACTCTCTGATACAGTTGATGTGTTAGGTTTGCAGAACTTTCTCCTCAAAAATAATTTTTTTTAAAGACTTTCCTTGCTGGTATGGGATGGGGAAAGAGATATTTGGAAATCAAGGTGATGTAAAAATAAGAAGTCAATAAAAGTTAAATTTTTAAATGAGGCATTCATACTGTATAATCCTTCCACCAGCTCTAACAATTTATCTTGAACATAATTACATGGTCTAATTGTGGAAGGCAAGAGAAAAAAAGAAAAGGGACAGTACAACCCTACCCCCCCCACAATGGGGATAACTTGACCTCTGAATAATACAATGTTGACAATGCCAGCCACCTTCTGGTGAAAGTGAGAAGGGTTAAGGTGGCAAAGCCATATGAAAGGACACTTCATCAGATTAAAATGGGTTTTCTTACCCTTAAAAAAGGAGGGTGTGGGGACTACCTCATATCTAAGATTCCCTTCTACCTCTAAAAGTCCATGATCTTGGGATGTAATACCAAAACAGCCTTCATTCCAAAAACAGTTTCCACTAATTAGATGGAGCAAGCAGCCCGAAGCTGCTGTAGGTCAAGGATAGTCTCAAGGTGTACTGGTTAGGGATTCCGGGAGCCAGGGAGAGCCATGATTATTTGTGTCAGGTTTTCCTAAGCAAATTGAGGATCTCCCATAATCCCAAGGGGTTGGGTGTGAGGTGTGTTATATGTGAGAGAGAAGCACAATTAAGAAATCCTTTTGACTCTTCAAAGTCAAATTAGTTGCAACCCTTGCCTTAAGAAACCTTGCCTTCAGCTGTGCCTCTGGGAAAATACTCATCTCCACTGCAGAATTCATGAAAACGGATCAGAATCCATCTGCAGTAAGCTACCACTTACATTTCTGTAAGGGCAGAGAGGGGAAGGGCATGGGCAAGGATACCTTATCAAACTACATGATTATCACATAAAGGAGATTCAATCAATGCAAAGGGAGATAAAGAGACTGACAAAAACACCATTTGAATTTCATCCACCCTAATACTCTTCAATAAACCAGTATGTATAATACCTATCTCCCAAAGTACATAGATGCTGGCTTCAGCATTAATCCACCCAACCCCTTTAAAAAGGGCACGTGTTATCTGAGAAACATTTCCTGTCCCACCTCCTCCAGATTTCTTTTAACCAGCTCAGGAAAAAAAAAAAACATACACATACACATATAACATAGTAGAAGATTGATGATTGATTTCTTTACCTTGAGATTTGGCCCCAGGTCCTTCTAATCCCAGGGATGGATCACACAACTCCTTTATAGGTGATTGGATGGGTGTCTCCGCTTCAGGAGTCTCAAAATTACCTTCAGAATCCGAGCTGCCGAGGGGGGAAAAATGAGGAATTACCACTTTCAATGCTATTTTGGACATCCTTCCACAGCCTTTAAATATCCAGAGTCCAGCATTTTGTGTGACTGTCAAATCTACTGGTCGTCCTCCTCCTCCGATAGATAAGCCAGTGGCCATCACAGATTCACAGCAGATACATGCAGCCAGATTTTCAGGATGGATGGAGTCCCTTCACTACTGGCCTCCTTGGGAATCTATCAGATACCTCTTCACTGAACACTAATCCACCGGAGCTCTATCCCATACATCACTTAGGTCTATATTTCTCTCTTCCTACATCTTCTTTCACCAAATCAAGGCTATTTTAAAAGCAACAACAGAGACCTGAAACCTTGCAGTTTCCTGAGGCTGGGCCAGGCTAGGCTAGAGAGCCTGGGTCTCTCCCCTAGAGGGCATGATCATTCATCCTGAACAACACACCGACCACAGTTCTGACCACAACCAGGGTCCCTGTTCCTGAACAAACCCCTACCTGCTTCAGGCTCACCGAGCTGTGATGCGCAGTCAATCACCTGTCCTGCCTAGCCAGCTGGGCCGGTGGCAGTTCAGCAGGAGACCATTTCATGGCCACTTGCTGAAGCCACCGGGCCAGTCTTGGCCAAACCTGCCTCTATCTTCCTTATTACCACTGCTGCATTTTTTTTTTTATGACCCTACTACCCTGGGCCCCAAATCCATTGGGGGTGGGGGCAAAGTGATCCCTCCCCAAGAAGGATTCCCAAGTTCCAGAATTGTGAATCAACCACACTGAAAGCCTTCGGGCTCATTAGCGTCTCCGAAGCTTGCAGAAATGAGACATTAACCAGATCAAGAAGGGGGCTGGGGGGGGGGGGGGGGGGGGGAGAGGAAAGAATACAGAAGCGCTGTAGATTTGGTGGGTGTTCAAGAAGCTAGTGGGGTGGGGGTGAGGAAAAGAAACACCCCTGCAAAACACCACCTACAGAAACGAGAGAGAACAGTGAACCCAGGGGCATTCTGGAGACTGGGGGGGAGGGGAGAAAAAGAAAACAAAACGAACACAGAATGTACGGCACATGGATGCAGGAGACACGAGTTCGAATCCCGGGGCTCCGGCCAAACTAGGGATGCTGCATACTTGCCTGAAACTCAAAGACTTGGTCTCGGCTTGGGAATCGTCCTCCTCGGCCTCTCCCTCCGGCCCCCGGTCCTCGCCATCAGCAGCACCTCCGCCGTGCACGGCGGACCAGGTCCACTTGGCCCACTGGACCGGGGACAGGATCTGCCACGGGCTGAAGGCCATGAGCGCGGCTGCCCCCGCCCCGGCCCCCCGAGAAGGCAAATGTGGGCTGAGGGAAGGGGATGCAATCCTTTTTTTTTTTTTAATCCCCTGTTTCTTTCAAAATGGAGGGAAACGGTGACAGCCGCCTGTGGCTGTTCCTGGCCGGGCAGCGCGGATGTGGTTAGACGTAGCCGTCGGCTCGCCGCCCTCTCCTCTGCCGGAGCTTCCTCCCCTGCCCCAGCCCCGGCTCCCGCTTCTCAGGGACGCCGGCCCAGGCTGCGGGAGGAAGCCACCCCCTCACTCATCCTCGCCCTCCCTCCCCCCTCCCACCAGCCCCGGCTGCTCTCCGGCTCGCCCCAGCCCAACTGCGGGAGGAATCAGCTGGCTGCCAGAGGAGCCCCGCTCCGGGCTGGGCTGGGCGGGGCTGCGCCGCGCTCCCTCTCCGGGAGCCGCCCCTCCGGCATCTACCACTGGCCCGCGGGGGGCGCCACGCCGAAGCGCTGATGCTTGTGGGCAAGGCGGCCCGTTCCCCCCCTCCCTCACGCCAGGTGGACTGTTCCGAGACTGCTCGGACTCATTTGTGGGAAGACGTTTGATGGGGGTTTGCGGGGGGAGATCGAGGCTCCATTCCCCCCCCCCGCCTTTTTCCTGCTCCATAGCAACAGGAAACCTATTTTCTGAGTCTGCTTTTCCCTCTTTTCCTCGCCCCACTTCTCACCACGCAGTGGAGCTGGTGGACTCCAAGGGCTGTCTGTCACCAGGCTCACCACTCAGTCAACATTTATTAAGAGCCTACTATGTGCCAGGCAGGCAGCTGGGTGGTGCAGTGGATAGAGCGCCTGAATTCAAATCCTGCCTCAGACATTACTAGCTGTGTGACCTAAACCATACTGCCTCAGTTTCCTCTGTAAAATCTGTAAAAATGAACTGGGAGAAGGAAATGGCAAACCAGGTCACAGAGTCAGGCAACAAAAGATGCAAAAGACAGTCCCCGCCCTCAAAGAACTTACAATCTAAAGAGAGAGACAACAAGCAAACAAATATATACAAAGCAAGCTATATTATATACAGGATAAATAAGAAATAATGAACAGAGAGAAGACACTAGAATTTTAAGAGGGCTTAGGGAAGACTTCCTTTAGAAGGTGGGATCAAAGAGTATGTGTTGGGGAGTGAGGTGTAAGATAATTGGAAAGACAGGAGGAGGCCAGTTTATGAAGGGCTTTGAATCACTAACAGTTTACTGTAGTAATAATAGCTAGCGTTTATAGATATAAAGATATGAAAGAAATTATTATTTCTCTCGTATTTAATAACTAATTCTTGAATTAGGACCAAGGTTTTCCCCCTTTTCTACGTCCTCATCTAGAAATCAACCAGTGTGGGAAATCTCGGGCAAAGACTTACCCAGCCAGTAAAGCTAAGATCTAATCAAAGACCGTAAAGAAATTTTAAGTTTAGGCAAATGGGTGGACTCAGGTCTGAGAAAATGTGGATTCTCCCTTTTGTCAGAGAATGACATGGAAACTGATAAATCTCTTTGACAGAGATTTGGGTGCTCAGTACCCCAAGACCCTCATTGGAATATGCCTATGTCTAATTATAATATTTATTTTCTCATTAATTGTTAACCAATCAGAGTTTATTGCCACCCTCAGGAACACTCACTCTTCCAACAGCATATAAACTGTGAGCCTACCACCATGATTTGTCTTTGGTCCAAGAGAGACAGTCAAATGACTATTCCTTCTATTGGTAATAAGCTAGCATTATTAATAAAATGATTAATTACCCAGAAACTATTTCTCTTGAACTTTTTAAACATTACAGATATATACATGTTTTTGTTGTTGCATGTGTGTATACACACAGAGTGTCCCAAAAGTCTTAGTGCAGTTTAAAGCTTTAGCAGTTTAAGTAGTCTTAAACTTTAAGCTGCTGAAACTTCAAACTGCACTAAGACTTGTGTAATCTCGTTTGATCCCCACAACAACCCTGAAAATAGGTATTATTTATTGTTCCCCATTTTACAGATGAGAAAATTGAGGGTAGGAGAGGTTAAGCAACCTTGCCCAGAATCACACAGGTAAGAGTATCAAAGGCAAAATCCCAACTCTGGTCTTCCTGACTCTTAAGTCCAGAGCTCAATGGACTACTCTACCTTAGATTGCTTTTGTTTTGGCCCAAGAAATCGAACCAGTAGGGGAAAAAAATAACAATTAATACTAGCCATAAGTGGAATGGAAAGTAGGTGGTGACTTGGGGTCAGGAAGACCCTGAGTTCAAATCTGGCCTCAGACACTTACTAGCTATGTGACCCCGGGCAAGTCACTTAACCACTGTCTGCCTCAAGTTTCCTCATCTGCAAAATGAGCTGGAGAAGGAAATGGCAAACTACTCCAATATATTTGCCAAGAAAACCCCAAATGGGGTCAGGACGAGTCAGATACCACTGAAAATAACTGAACAACGTAAGTGGAATGGGCTGCCTTGAGAGACAGAGTTCTCCATCCCTGAAAGTCTCCAAGCAAAAGCTACATGACCACTGGAGTATAGTAGGAGCATGCTCTGGGCAAGAGATATCCAGCAACTTCACTTGTTTCCAGCCCCACAATTAACAATAGTAATGATTCCCCACAATCATGTGGCCCAACAGGAAAAAGGCCAATTCCCCATAACGTATCTTCCATTAGGTTGAAAGTCTAAATGGATAAATGTCTTCCTTCATTCCAGCAACTTCTTGCTTCACAAAATAACATAATATTCTAATACTTTTCATAATAATTCTAATAACATTCTAGTAATGCATGGAAAGGTTTTCACTTTCCATTTCAACTCTGTCAGTTAGAGACCCTAAGAACCTCAGATTTTCTAATCAGTTCCCCTAGGCCAGACCTCCAAAGCTAGAATGGCTCTGGGGGTCAAGGATGGTAATGGGGAGAGGTCCTAAGTTAGGATTGTAGCGCAGGAATCAGAGTCCTGAGGATATCCAACTCTTAAGGGAGGAAGCTCCCAGTGTAAATTGAGCCAGGCAATCTTACTGAAACATGCCCACTCTCCCCTAGCCAGGGGAGCAGCCTAATTCCCCAAACACTTTAGATGACCTCACCCTTCCCTACTACCCTTGGGATTCAGAAAACCATCATCAGCATTCTCCCAATCTATAAGACCAGCCTGTTGAACAAGATGACACCAGAGACCCTTCTAGTTCTGAAAGCCAAATACCCTATAAATGGTGATCTGATGGAATTTGACATCTTCCCCCTCCACCCATTAAAACAAACAAACAACAAAAACAAAACAGCATTTGGAGAGGGTCTGAAGTCTTAAGTCAAAGGTGTTGAATTACGCAGTAGAATCAATATGGTATTCTAGGGCCTCATCAGTTTTACATTTCTCTCATTAAAAAAAAATTAATAAGGCTGCTGCCTCATTCCATCACTTTCCTTCTGGCTCATTTAGTTAGCTGCTGCAGGCCTGAGTGAAAACAGTGTTAAAAATAAAACCCTCTCCATTCTAGGAGGCAGAGGAGGAACAGCTGAGCCCTCCGTTTTCTTCTTGTTTCAATGTGGAAGATTCCCCCCCACCCTTTTCACCAACTCACTCCTTTCCTCCTGATGAGTTAAAGAAAGGGAATACAGGAAATTACAATGGACCCATGAGGCATGAGCTCAAATGCTCAGCTTCAAATCAATTCAATAAGAACGGGTTAAGCACCTACTATGAGCTAGGCACTGTGCTACACTAGAGATACAAAAACAGGCAAAAGATGATCCTTGCCCTCATGGGGTTTACAATCTAATGGTGAGACAATGTGCAAATAAATATACACAAAGCAAGTTATATACAGGATTAATAGAAAATAATTAATGGGGAGAGGTGAGCAGCTAGTTGGTGCAGTGGATAGAGTGGATAGAGTCAGGAAGACTTGAATTCAAATATGGCCTCAGACAATTAACTGTGTGACACTGGGTGAGTTACTTAACCTCCATCTGCCTCAGTTTCCTTAATTGTAAATTGGGGGAAACAATAGCATCCACCCTCCTAGGGTTATTGAGATGTTTGTAAATTGCTTCAAATAGTGCCTCACATATTAGGCACTATATAAATGTTTATTCCCTTCCCTTTTCCCCTTCCCCTACTTAATAAATGTCTATTTACTTCTTTCCTTATAAGAAATCATTCAATAAACATTTATTAAGCCCTTACTATGTTCACACTTTGCAAACCTTAAAGCACTATATAAATGTGAGCTGTTACTATATTTATTTAAGGAAAGCCTAGATGATTTTTTTTTTGGTGAGGGCAATTGGGGGGGTAAGTGACTTGCCCAGGGTCACACAGCTAGTGAGTGTTATATGTGTCTGAGGCCAGATTTGAACTCAGGTCCTCCTGACTCCAGGGCCGGTGCTCTATCCACTGCTCCACCTAGCTGCCCCAGATGATCATTTGTTGAGGATATTTTAGGAGGATTCTTGTGGATGTCCCTGCTATTAAAGATGGGATCTTGGAGTCCCTCAAGAAACTCAGATTCAGGGATTCTTCAACAGGTGAAAAAATGGCCTAAAATGACTCTTTCCCGTGGGCCTAGAGGATGATTAATAAGGAGAGGGCTAATTCCAAAGACATCCACAGATACAAATTAATTTTGCTAGAAGCTAGATGGATCCCATTTACTTTTACAGTACCATTCTCAGATGGAATTAAAAATTAGGAGAAAAAAAGTGGTTGCAAGGGGAGGCTGGCAAACCAACGAAGAGTAGAAATAATTCCTCCCTGACTGCACTGGAATGGTTTGCCATTTCCTTCTTCAACTCATTTTGCAGATGAAGACACTGAGGCAAACAGGGTTAAGAGACTTGCCAGGGTATCCCAGTTAGTAAGGGTCTGAGGCCAGATTTGAACTCAGGAAGTCTCACCTTCCTGACTCCGGGCCCAGCACTCTATCCACTGAGCCATCTAGCCTCATTTTACATATGAGAAAAGAGGCCCAAGGTCATAGAGGTAAAAGTAAAAGATCTTAGATTTGAAAGGGGCACATCCGACTCCAAATCCAGTTCTTTTTCTACTCTACCACATGACCTCCACTACCCAAACTGTATTCTCTTTTGGTGAAAAACAATCAAGGGAAAAGCCAAACTTCATTCTCTCTGGGCCTCAGTTTGTCATATGTAAAATGATGGAATTAGGTTACATCATCTCTAAAATCCCTTACACATTTAGTAGTCTCTGAATGCATAAATTCTTCCTCATGATCGT